GCAGGTGAATACAGCTCTTAGTGTGCACAAAACCCCAGATTAAAAATAGGGGATTTTTGATATCTGCTTCAGGAAGACTGATTCCAGGGAGGCTGGAAGGGGCCAGGAGGAAGGCAGAGGCCCTCTTGGGCGGGTGGAAGACTTTGAACTGAGGCTTGGAGCAGAACTGGGGTGGGACGTCAGGAGCCGAGGCGAGGGCAGCGGGGTGCAGCAGCTGCGGAGGTGGGGGGGAAGGGAAAGGTCAGGGTGGAGGGTGTGCAGCCACACGGCTCCCAGCAGCGGGGACAGCCACGCCGGGAGCTGGGTGTCCAACCAATGGGCTGCAACAAGCAGCTGGGGGAAACCGGCTGTGTTTTTTAATGTCTGGTCTGGCATAATGAAGGCTGAGCCTTGAATCACATGCACTGGGGGAAGCAGCGGCTAAAGCATCAGCCTAAGAATCATGAGACTAGGGGTTTATGCCACCATCTGCAGCTATTTCAGGGCTGACTTTGGGCAAGCAGCTGATGTGCTTGCGCTTTGGATTCCCCACCGTCAAGAGTGTTGCTTACCTTGATACCCCTGAAACTGAGACACTAGAAGAAGAAGCCTCTACTCTCCCAGCATGGTAGGATAAAAACACTGAAATTAAAACAGGGCAAGTTCAAAACTGTCAGAAGGAATTCCTTTTTCACACACACTGATGCAAATCAGAGCTAACACCAGTGACTAAGGTGAACTGGCGTCAGTGGGAAACAAAATTAAGCAGGGTCTGTCCAGTGCCCATATAAGTAGTAAGCATACACTCACAGGGCCTCAAGCCAGCTATTCTGTAGTTCAATTTTTTAATAAAATAAAGTTTTACCTGCCTTTTTAAAAGACAAATGTTGAAATGAACCTTTGGTTGTGTATAATGCATTTGCCATATGACTAATGGTTTCTTTTAAAGCACTGAGCAGAGTATGCATGTGTGTGTCAGAGAGACAAAAAGGAGTCTTTGTGTATTGGCTGTGGTAACTGTTTAGGAATATAGTTCTTTTTTTCCAATTATCCTTGTAATACATCAGCAGTCTTGTCTCATTTCTCTCTGTTGAGGTTCATGTACAAATGTAGAGATTCATGCTCTCCGATTTTTCAGTTACAAAAGTATATACTACATCTTAAGCATTGATTTTCTTTCTTAAAGTGCCATGGACCAGAGAGAGAGAGATTTGTGAAAATGGCGGAGTTAAAAGTTAAACCATGGTCAGGCAAACAACTATGTAGCTATAGGGCTAATTTAGAGGCCCTAGACTGAAATGTTATTTTGTAAAATATAAAAAAGAATAAAGGAGAAACACTGAAAGGCCAGAACTCATGCTAATGCCTGCAGGAAAAGTTAATCCCAGAGTAAGGGCTGGAAAATTTGACCTAAAGCATATTAGCATGGCTTCATGGGTGGAGACACAGTATGGAAGTGGAGAATTAATTTCTTCCACAATAGCAAGATTTTGTAGTCTTGCAAAAGCACAGTGAAAAATAGGATAGGTGGTCTGAGGAGTATAAAGTCATTTGCACTTAGAATAAAGGAGTCTACAAGGGAAGTCCTAGCCCCTGTACATCTACAGTAAAAATCCTACAGAGTTTACTTGGTCTACATGGTAATCAAGGTTTTAAGCACCTTGTGCCCAGCTGAGGCAACCGTCTTCTGTGAATGACCTCCAAATCAGGCATTGTGTAAAGGTCAGACACATCATCTGTGTGCACGTGTGTGTTTAATGTGAAAGCAGCTTTTGTTTCCAGTCGCTGCTAGTGCCATAGGTTGTGGAGACTGGTTTTCATTAACATACTTAGACTTTTGTGATTTAACACTATTACATGATCTGAGTGCTGGAAAATTACTTGAGCAGGCCCAATACACAAATTCTTGGTGCCCTTTCCCAGGGCAGGAGTTGTTTCTTCCAGCAGCACAGCAGGAGGAAATCCTTACAGGTTTCAGAGGTTGTGAAAACCTGCATGGTTTAGCAACCTCTTCTTCATCCACAGAAAGGAAGGGTCTCCATTGCTTTCTTCCTCAGGGATAACACCACAGTTATACTGTAGCAGGACATCTTAAAATTATGCTCTTTTGTTTTGGAGGGAGACGTCTGTACATGCTGCTGTAAGGCTTCTGCTGTTCAACCATTATTTCATGTTGGCATTTTTATTTGAAGGCCTAACCATGGCCAAGAAAAGGAAACTTCTCTACTTTTCTTTTTGCGTTACATCTTCCAACTGGATTGTTTTCAAGCACAAAAGAATTGAACATGAACTTTGGGGAGGGAGGAAGAGGAGAAAACGGAATCAGCTAGAAGAGATGATGACTCCAGTGGGGTACTCTGCAGTTTTGTTCTCTGGGGACTGAAAAATACTTTCAACCAGTATGAGGTTGCAACAGTCCAAAAGAGGAGAGAAAAATCCATGTCTGGTCTAGACCGACCAGAAACTAAAAACAAGGGACACTTTGAATTCTGAGACTCTCACCACAACTGAAAACTGTGCTCAGGCCAAGTAACTGGAAAATCAGTTTCTTGGGTTAGAGAAATGCTTTCCTGAAGAATCAGAGGCAGCTTTCCATTTTAATTGAAAAAGAAATTATTATGTTTTGAAGCATTGATTCTAACACTTGAACAAAGTGATTCTAACACTTGAACAAAGGTCTGCAATCAGGGTTGTGAGGAGATCTGCATAGTTTCATATGGAGCTTAGTGAAATGCTACAGTAAACCAAATTTTTCTGTGACATTTTCTTGCCATTTGGCTGTGATAGTCTATCATTTGTCACAGAATGGAAAAATAAGATATATCTTCATAATGCACTAAAAAGAAGTCTGACTGCAAACACAAGTCAGGAAGAGGCATAGGGACTGGAGCTGAGTGGTGAAACCCTAGATCAGGAGATGGTTATGAGAAATACACCAGGAGAGCTGAGAGTCCTCTGATCAGCAGTAATTGAATGCAATAATTGTTGCGGAGAACTTTAGAAAGAAATGTTGAGTAAAAATTTCTTACAGGGCGCTTGTTTTAAGAGGGAAGTGTAGTAAATTTCAGGACAAATTTTTAAGTGGCAGTAGCACAGGCACAGCCTATGCTGTGGGCAGAATAAGTTTTCTGGACTTAATGACTCCTCTCAGTCAGCCAGGCTAGTGTTTGGTGCAATATGTATTTTCTTCATTGTGCTGGTACAAGGATAGTTAAAGCCTGAGAGGAGCACTCTAGGGATCTCGTTGTGATGCCTGGCAATGTCACCTTATGGGATGAGGGGTGAAGCTTTGCAGAGATATGTGGTGCACACAAGAGTTGAGATCAGAAAACCCTTCTTACATGTGGCAGAGATTTGAGAGTAGCAATTCATTTTGCAAGAAACAAGGAAATTTAGGGCTTTTTTTCTTAGTCCTGCACTTTTAAAATGTGTGTATTACTACTAGTCTACTTGCTGTGGAATATTTTAGGCTAAGTATGTTAAGTCCAAGGAAAAGTGCCTTGCAGTCTTCTGGATTAAAGTGATAAATGTATGAAACATTTTATTATTTTATGATTAGATTTTAAAACAATATTTTCTTCAAAAATATTCAGTCAATATACTTGAGTCTGGTAAAAGTATTATGACTCATACACCCTGTATTTTAACAATATGTGAGGACTCTCTTTTGCAAAAAAGCACCACAGCACTTCAAGATAACAAAAAAAACCCAGGAAGTTTAAAGGTGCTAGGCAGTCTGTTCTGGTAGGCCTGTGATTTATTCTTGGTCTTGCAAAGCTGCAGTCAAAGAATATGCAGACAGACCATTTTCTTCAGACAATTGAGAAACGTATAGGTGGAAAGTGAAGGAACAATGTCACATGCTTCTGTTCAAATCATTTTGGAACTGTGGCCATATGATAGTTTCAGACATTCATTCATCAAATTTTACTTTCTTTTCCCAATGTTCTCTTTTCAGCTGATGGCCATTAGAAAGCACAGCTTCTCTGTACTAGTTCATAAGTGTTGAGAATGTGCTGTATCAGGGATGGGGAAATCTAGAAGGATGACACAGAACTTTTTAATGTTCCTGCAGTGCATACTTAAAATATCCCTCTGAGTAGGGAGCAGCGATACCTTTTGTGTGCATGATTCTTGCATGCAAATATGCTTGCAAGCTCAGGCTCACATGGAATTCTCATATTAAATTTGTAGCCTGTTGCACAGAGCTTAGGCCAAATCTGTTCACCTCTGGTTTTTTTCAGTGTTCAGCACTGAGTAGTCTTCCCTGCTCTGGCTAACTGAAACACATGTTAGGAGGCAGCTGCCTATTGCCAAGAAGAGCCCACATGCAAGAATATTTCCATCTGGGATGACTAACGTGTGCCCAGTGTACGTCCAGTCTCACATCCCACTCTGCAAACAAAATCCACTGATGAATTAATTCTCTTCTTGCTTCAAAGGGCAGTCAGAAGATGAAAGTAAAAAACTGGACATATTTCAAAAAATTACATTATATGAAAAACAGGTCATTCAACCAGATTGCAGATCATAGATTTTCAAAAATGTGAAATGTCAAGCAGTTCTATTTGAAAAAGTATCTGCTCCTTTGCTTGTTGCATATTTTGCTAGTGTTGGAAAGAATGTTTTCAAAAAGGAAAGACAGTGTTTTAAGTCCTTCTTGGGATAATATCCCAGCGATATCCAACTTACAGGCTAGATGAGTGGACAGTGAGGTGGATTGAGAACTGGCAAAATGACAGGGTGCAGAGGGTTGTGAACAGTGACACAGAGTCCAGTTAGAGGCTGGTAGCTAGCAGCGTTCCCCAGGGGTCAGTACTGGGTCCAGTCCTGTTCAACATCTTCATCAGTGACCTGGGTGAAGGGACAGAATGCAAGTACCCTCAGCAAGTTTGCTGATGACACAAAACTGGGAGGAGTGGCTGATACGCCGTTCAGTGAGACCTGGACAGGCTGGAGAGCTGGGTGGAGGGGAGCGTAACGAAGTTCAACAGGGCCTTCACCTGGGGAGGAATAACCCCATGTACCAGTACAGGTTAGGGTCTGACCCGCTAGAAGGTAGCTCTGCAGAGAAGGACCTGGGAGTCCTGCTGGACAGCAAGTTAACCATAAGACAGCAGTGTGCCCCTGTGTACAAGAAGGCCAATGGTATCCTGGGGTTCATTAAGAAGAGTGTGGCCAGCAAGTTGAGGGAGGTTCTCCTCCCCCTCTACTCTGCCCTAGTGAGGCCACATGCAGAGTACTGTGTCCACTTCTGGGCTCCACAGTTCAGGGGAGACAGGGAACTACTGAGAGTGTCCAGTGGGGGGGCTATAAAGATGATGAGGGGACTGGAGCATCTCTGTGATGAGGAAAGGCTGGGAGGCCTGGGGTTGTTTGTCCTGGAAAAGACTGAGAGAGGATCTTATCAATGTTTATAAAGACCTAAATGGGTGTGTGCCAAAAGGATGGGGCCAGACTCTTATCAGTGGTGGCCTGTGATGGGACAAGGGGCAACAGCCACAAACTGGAACACAGGAAGTTCCACCTCAACATCAGGAAAAAATTCTTTACTGTGAGGGTGATGGAGCACTGGAACAGGCTGCCCAGAGAGGTTGTGAAGTCTCCTTCTCTGGAGATTTTCAAAGTCTGCCTGGATGAGATCTTGTGCAACCTGCTCTGGGTGAACCTGCTTTAGCAGAGGAGTTGGATTAGATGGTCTCTAGAGGTCCCTTCCAGCCCCTACCTTTCTGTGATTCTGTGTTTGATCAAAGCTTGTCAGCATAAAAACAAATAATCTATCCTTGCTCAGTTTGTAATTCTTCCATAACAGAAACAGCAAAATTAACTTGAACAGTTGTAAATATAAAAGCAATACAACAGTTTCTGGTATTTCATAGTTGCACATAGCAAGTCTGCTTCTTGTGAAGACACTGGATAATATTGAATGTCTCATACGCATGGCTGATCCTTCTCCTGCACCGAAGGAATGCCAATGCTGATATATACCCCCTATAATAACCCACTGGCTTTTCATATATTGGTGACTCAGGCAATAAAATATATAATTGTGATGCTAATTAAATTGCTATTTTTAAAATATGTCCTTAATAAAGGGATTATTTGTACCTAGCCAGAATTAAAAACAGAGCTGTCACTCTAATTCAATATAGCTGTCAGTACTAAAAACAATACACAGAAGCTCCAACTTAGCTAGTCTCAGAGGTGCAGGTCTGAGGAGGTTTAAATACTCCACCCAAGGAGAATGCACAACATGCTGCCTGTTCTTTAACTGGTGATACATATATTAGCAGACTAGAGGCCTGTAATTACATAAATCCTTAAAACCTGAGCTATTTAGTAAACTATTTGAGCAGTACAAGTGTTAACTGCCTAAAACTGGCAAAACTCAGACAACCAACAAAGAAAATCTTGACCCAAGCAAAACACTATTCATCTCAAGAATTAAAATCCAAAGCCAGTGTTGTGCAGTCCTCTCAGATCTAGTTATTGTATTCTAGTTTGTCCTGAATGTGCCTGGGATCTGGGTGGTGATCCATCCTTGTGGAGGCTGAGGCAAAGGCCAGGCACAGAGCAGGTTCATTGGACCTAGTAGTTGGGCAACATTCAAAAATTAGTAGCTTACACACAGATTAAATAAAACCAGGTTTGTGGGAAGAGGTCATACTTTTTTATTAGAGCAACTTCTGTAGTTGGGAAAAGCAGGCAAGCTTTTAGACAGACAAGACCAGTTCTGGTCTGGAACAGAAGCAGGAGTGCTCAAGCTAAGTACAAACTGAGAACAATTGCTCTGCTTTTACTTCATTGTGTTAAATGAAGCACTGTTAGGACTGATTGGCTACCTCCTAGAGCCTGGGCAGCCACCAAGCTCTGAGTTAAGAAGAAATGGTACTTGTCCCAGCTATGTCAGTCTATATTAATCCTGCATATGGCTCCACCAGCTTTCAGCAGACAAACATCTTTAACCTAAGCATTTAATGATCGTTTCCACTGAGGAATTGTTTATTTACAATAAAAGGCAGGGTGGCCTTACTGGGCAGGACTTCGCAATGTCACTCTGAAGCCAAGCCACTGTTCTTCACTCAGCTGTTGGTCTACTGAGTGGTCTACAGTGAGTGGGTCTATCCATCAGCTTCTGCATGGTAAATGGGCATAAAACTGGCCTTCTTGCAAAGTCCTTTGAGATTTGCAAAGGAGAAGTGTTACACAGGAGCTAGACACTTCTTCATTACTAGCTCTTTTTCATGTGGTTCCTTTAATAGACATTTGGTTTCTGATTTCAATCTTCCTAACAGGGTGTGACATTACTGGTGCTAGTAGCAACTCTCTGCTTCCAAATGTGACTAGAAGACTGATATTACTGTCATGTAAGCGGCTAAAAAGTTATTTCTTTAAACTTCCCAGTGTCAGATAAGCTCTTAAATAGGGAAAAGTTGCTGAATTGTGTTCAGCAACTACAGAAGTGTCTTCATCTCCCTGGACAATTACTGTAATGGCACATCCAATTTGAGTAGGCACGTGTGGAAACAAATAACCATATAGACGCTCACAGATTCTCCAACCGATGTATAATAAATGGTATCTTTTCCATATTTAAGTAAAACACGGGAAAATGAATGCTGAGGCTTTTCCCATTATTCTGTAACGTATGTGTATGTGCACAGTGAGACGTACAAATGCATAGCCATACTTCAGACACAGTAGCAAATGTATGTACTATGAACATGTGTGCATATGCACACATTGGCATTAAATAGTGCACAATATAAAAATATGGCAAATAAACATTCTGATTGCAAAGACAAGCAACATTGGCATTCCAGAATGCAGGTTTCCTGGGCATCCTTAATTAGCCTTTTTGAAAATGTATGATACAGTTTTAATTATGTTATAACACGTAGGGTTTTTTTTCCTTAACAGATTCTTGTTTCACCCAGTCAAAGGGGAAGCAATTTTTTAACCCTTCTGTTTTTTATCTTTTTCCATTTGGTGCTCTGGCCTCAGATCTTGTGTTAGTGCTCATGGCCCAAGTGTTACACTGAACACAGAAAAACATTAACCCCATTCCAAGCTCTTGTTTCTCTGTTGCTTCCACAACGGCAACATAGTGTGCCCCAAATCCTTATGAACACCTCTCTGCAACACATCTGTGCAGGGTGAGGATACTGTTACCTTCACAATATTCCTGCCATCATGCAAAAGCACTGAAGCACAGAGGGAGAAAGGACAAAAATGTTGGAAGGACAACTTCCAGTGAAAGCTGAGAGATGTGAGAGCTTTCACATGTGTAGCATTTCCCTAGTACTTTCTCCACTCAAAGTACAGGGCCAGTTGACTTCATCTCTCAGTATTTCTGCATTTCAGGCCCCAGGTGTCTCTTGCTGAGCACCCAGAAATTGAGGCCAAGCACTCAAGAGGGAGGAAATTCCAGAATGATGTCATCATGCCTACACACAGGGAGGGGGAAGGAGCTAATCATGCCCAGGCAATCCAAATTCTGGCATTTGCTAACATTTTAGCATTTGGCTCACAGCCCTATCATTCTTTTAGCTCAGTTTTTATGTGTATGTGTATACATTTCTCTGTAAATAAATAAGGACATCTGAACTGTGTCTAATCTGCTGAAAACTCTTGCACTGACTTCTCAGTAAAACTAATTCAGTGATGTGTATGCCCTTGGAAAAAGGCACGGCATGTGTTGTAATAGAATCATAGAATGGTTTGGGTTAGAAGGGACATTAAAGATCATCTAGCTCCCACTCACCTGCCATGGGCAGGGACACCTCCCACTAGACCAGGTTGCTCAAAGCCCCATCCAGCCTGGCCTTGAACAGTCCAGGGATGGGGCATCCACAACCTCTTTGGGCAACCTGTTCCAGTGTCTCACCACCCTCACAGTAATATAATAACCTTTACTTATTTTTCCTGCTGCAATTAAATCTAGAGAAATCTAGGGAAACTTGGTTTTGATTGTTCCCAGAAGAGGAAGGAAGGGAAGTGAAGAATATCTGCCTTAATAGGTGCTGAAGTATCAGTGCACCTCCCTGCTCTGGCTGTGCCTCAGCCAGTCATACTTACTCTGCTTTAGAGGCAGGAATGAGCTATAGGCAGGCACATTGACACCCAAAATCAGGAGGATAGAGGACTTCTAGAGGACAGGGGTAAATTTGCTTCACTTGAGTATGAACACCCGCTGCTAAGTCTCAAGTTTTCCATATTGTGCCTATCTATTACCAAATTACAAGTGAGACAATAAAAAGCATAGTATACTGCCTTAAAAATCCCAAGATTTTCAGTTAAATGTTGGTTTAGTTTTTGTTTGCTGCTTGCAAGCTTTCTCAAACCCTTCCCCTTCTCAGACTTCCTTGTACAAGCTGACAGGTTGGAAACAGGTTAAAAATGGAAGTTGAAATCTATATGTAAACAGCTGGCTCCAAGAGCTGGCGCTCTAGGGAGCGAAAACTTGTAGTGCAAGACTCACAAAACTCTTGTGGGAGTTGGCTTCATTAGGCATCTACCATAAGCATGCCTGCATGCACAGATCTGTACGCCGCTGCGATCCTATCTGTGCGTGCGTGTGTACCTGAGGTTAGCAAAGTATTCACTCCCTGCTCTGCCAGTCACTCCTCTCTCTTCTCACACTTCTCCTCTGCTCTTGGAAACAGGGAGTGCCCCTCTCTTTCATTCATCCCCATCTCCACTAGCGACGCAGACCAGTGACAGAAGGACCAGATTTTACCCCTCCTGTGTGTGTACAGCAGAAGACCTTTTCTCACTAACACTCTGCTGTCCACATCAAGAGGTTACCTGTCTTTCATCCAGTGGACATAGCAATGTGTTTACCCTGCTGAGCTGGAATGCCCTGGCTGGATCTCTAAAAGCTCTTCTCTGTATCTTTTCTGTAGATGGTACCTAGGGAAATGTAGTTGTCAAGTGTGGCATCGTACTTTTTCTCTACTCCAAGTTTCACGGTCTGAAAAATCCCTGACAAAGGGGTATCATTCATTAGCAGTGCTTTTAATTCTGGAAACACATCTCCATCCATGCCAGATTCATCCTGCTAGATTCATCCATGCTAGATTCATCATTCACATGGTTACCCCTCCTCCCTGAAGGCTGGGGAGCCAAGCTTTCCATTTCTCCTCACTGCAGTTGCTCAGTAGAGGGAGATTATGCTGGGATTTCCTCATTTTCCCAAGAGGGAAAAGCGGATCTGTTCATGCTGAGACACTTTCTTCCAGTATGTGGCTAAGCCATGCTCTCCAGCCAAGGCGTCAGCTAGCAACATGCACTCTGTGGGCTTCTGAGGGGAGAAGTCCTAGGGTAGGCAAAGTGGTGGGAATAGTATGTTGCTTATTATGTTATTGAAAACAAAATACAGCTGCGCATTAATGTTGGCTGAATGCAACCTGTCAGCACCAACATCTCCCCAAAAAGTCAGGACTGATTGCAGCCAGCCTTCACACAGGAGAAGGTGCCAGTAGCTGAGCAGTTGGAGAAGCATGACATGTTGTCCCCTGCCCACTTCCAGGCCATGTTAACACAGCAGTATTAGAGGAGAGAGTGAGCCTGGAGAAATGCCATGTCACGAGGAACCATGTGGTGACAGGCAAATTGCTCAGAAAGCCCTGGAGGAACTGCAGCCCTGGGGCCAGGACAACATGTGTTCTCTCATGTGATGGACTCACCCAGGGCACCAGTGCCGCTTCCTATGCCTTGATGGTGTGTCAAGCTCCAGAGGCACTCCAAAATAATTCCTCCATAGCCCATGGGTTTACTCCTAATTATTAATTACTTTAACTCACTCTTTCAGGACCAGCTCTATTTTCAGTCTTTGTAGTTCACCTAAATCTAGAAGGCTGGGCGTCCCTACCCTCTCAAGAGTGTGAGTGGGTTGGGTGCTGGCCCTGGGCACTGGAGAACGAATCATGTTGCTGTAGCTGGGAACAAGTAGTGAGGGTTAGGTAGGCTTTGAGCCATTTTGGTGCATTACTGTCTTTCCAGCTCTGCTTGTGTTATGTTTTGGTCAGGACAATCAGAACCCTCATAACTTCAGAGGAACGTCAAGGAATGAAGGGTTTGCCCTTTTGAATAAAATAAGAACATGTGAGTGTGGGGAGAGAAGGGAAAGGAGAGAGGCATTTGCATAGATCAAGAAAGGTCATTAAAACATCTGGCAGTAGTAACTGACATGTGTCAAATTTTAGTGTTCATTAAATTCATATTAATGCAAGAGTGGTTCCTAAGCTCCAAATGCCACTTTTGGTTGCTGTGTTCTTCCAGTTGATGGTGATGACTTTTCAGAACTGTACCATGCTTGTTTGCTTGCTAGTGGCATCTGACCTGAGGTCATATTTCTATTTAACCCCTTCCTGTAGGTCAAAAGACAAATTAATCTGGTGAGAATTGAATTGGAAATGAGGTGTCTGGATAGCAGGTGTCCCAGATGTGGAGTAGCTGCCAGGCTGAAACATGTTTGCATCTGTTCTTATGCCATCCAAGAAGTCATGTCTGAGGTCAGGGACATATTCAGCTGACATCTGAGATGGGAAGTTGCCACAGGGAGCAGAAGTGGCAGGTGCCCTGTGTTAGCAGATTATCTTGCAGTCTGGGGGGAAATGTCTGAGAGTGTCACTCTCAGTATAATACATGTCCATTTATTGTGCACTTTGCTTTATCAGTATTAGCAGTTTATAATTGTAAAGATACACAATTTCCATCCCTTTTAAAGAGAAGAATCTCACAAATCTTTTTCTTCATTTTTTTTTTAGAGGATGAAGATGATGAAGAGATGGTGGAGCCAAAAGCACAGGATGACTTGGAGACAGAAAATCAAGACCAGAAGCAGGAAGTGAAAGAAGGTACTTTAAAAAATTAAAAGGATTTTTTTACAGCTTTAAAGGACTGAATCCTGCAAGTAGTTATTCTCATAGGTAGTTTCTATTACTGAGAACACTGCAAAATTGAAACAGTTACCAGTTTTATTAATTCAAAACTGTAAGAGTATCATAAAAGCAGAAAATTGTATCCCACTGACCCAGCTGGTAGGTCTGAGAAGCTTGGGAAAGGCACAAGACTTTGGCTGTTCAGAAGATACAGGTCCTCATTATCTGGGAACGAAGTAGAGATACTTGGATACCAGGACTGGTGCTTACTCTGGCTCTAATAGCCTGATTACATAAAAGATTTAAAACATGAATGCCAGGCATTCCAGTGGCTCCATATAGTTGGTTGGTCTTCAGAGGTACTTCAAGCCCCTAACTGTCTGCCTGCTTGAGAGAGGTAAACTTAAACCTAGTGGTCAGGAGTCCTCCAGCAGAAAACCATTTCACTGGAAAATGCTGACTATCAAAATCAATATTTTTAATAGGAATTTCAGGTCAAAGCTGAAGCCAGACAAGACCAGCCCTTCTATCCATTTATCTGAATTGAGACACTCTCCAGGGTTACAAGAGACAAAAATTCAGGTTACTGCTTCTTTCTAGTGCAGACAAGAGGCACAAGTTGAAGTGGTACATGTCAGCACTGGGCATGGTAGATATGCTGGGTGTCTCCTGTTTGCTTTTCTTGGGCCCATTCTAGCTTTTTTAATTAGAAGAGGGATATGAAATTTGGTCTTCTTCATTTGTGAATTTACTAGATTATTTGCTATTCTGGTGTGTTTCCTTGAACAGTCAATGCACATCCCTGCATGGAGTGGTAGAAAAGAGCTGAGATATGAGCAGCACCTGTGTGAGAGGAAATGAGCTTCTTCTCTAGCATTTCATAGCCCTGTATTGCCAGGACTGCTCATTGTGCTGTTTATGCTCTTGAAAGCTAAACTATCTCTTGGTTTTACTTCCTCGGGTAGTGCCTAAGTCACTTTGTGCTATGAGGATCATTATCAGGATGATACTGTGACATTGGCTTTGTTTTTCACAAGATAATCTCACTATAGGAAAAATACGGAGTCATTTTACAGCGAAGTCCATGAAATGGTTAACTGTAAATATAGCAGTGGATGCCCCTTTCTCACCTAAGGGAGCCTGGCATGATTTACATCAGTGTTCAAAAAATCTGAATCTGGTGTATAGTGCTCACATTCGCTATCCTCACACACTGAAATGAGTTGCAGTACCAGCCATGCTGGTTTGATTATAAATTGATTTTTATTCCCTCTTAAGAGCATCATAGAAATCACCCATGCCATAAATCCTGCAGTGTCCATTGCTCATTAAATCCTTGTAGAAACATGGAGGGGGGAACTCACTCCTCCTGCTCCTCATCCTTCTATTTCTGTTCCATTGCCCCCAGTCACTGCTACCGTGGGTAGAGAGGAGCAGCAGAACCAGTGGTGACAGTAGGAACAGGAGTCACACAAGAGTCTGCAAAGGCAAAACTGAAGACATGAGCAAGAAACATGGAGACATATGAAAAATTACTTTTTCCTGAAAATTACCCTTGCTCCCAAACCTCACCAGACCTAACATAGTATCTCTTTTACTGATGACAACAGGAAGCCATAAAAACTGGTACCACTGCACCAAGTCCATAAGTACTGTCCTGAGTTGCTGAATTTCCCTCTAGTGCTCAGCTTGCAGCTGATCCCATGCCCATGGATTTCAACATAAAAGTAATGCTAGTGCTTATACCTGGAGAGAAAGCACACACTCCTGCATGAAGAGAAGAAGAAAAAATCTAAATACAGTACTGAAATGATTTATTTCACTTTTCCATGGGCTTTCAAGTTAGCCTTTTATGTACTTTGCTGACCAAGCACCACTGCCAACACTTTTATTTCTTTGCTGTGTTTTAATCTCAGGGTACTGTTCCCCTTCCCTGCCTAGCAGACCCCCCAGGAATACTAGATAAACTGGGCTAGTTTAGCACTAGTCTCAGACACACAAACTGCAGGCTGTAAAAGCAAGGCACAGCTTGTTTTAGCAGAACCGGCTTTGTGAGGTGCTAACACTTGACTGGGTTCAAGGAAGAAGAAAACATACTTATTGCCTGATAGAAAGTGAATATGACCTGCAGTACATGTTGTTGCAGATGGATAAAATAGTGGCATGCTGAAGACTGATGTTAAATGCTGTTAATCAAATGAAGTGGTTGTCCCCGAATGGCCAGGGAACAGAGTCACATTTTTTAAAATTTGGTGCCATTCTCTCCCTGTTGGCTTTCACCCTTTTGCCAACAAAATCCCATTTTCCTCTCTGTTGTAATCACCATTCTCATGTTCTGAGCAACATTCAGAGTTTGAAGCCACCGTTTGTGTTTCATGGAAGTGATTAAAACCATGTTACAAGGCAAACAGGAGTTTAGAAGAACATTTCCTGTCGGTGCTGCACTCTGTGTGCCTATTCAGAATTAATAGCTTTTCTGCAAATTAGCACATAATGGGTTAAAAGCATGTTTATGTTGGCATTAAGTACTCTGGCTTCTTTTTCTCTGCAAGGCAAGACAATATTTTGCAAACTTTTAAAAGAATCTCTAATAGATATTATAGTGGCGCCATTCACACTGCTATATAGTAGTTAAGGCTGTGTCAGCACTTCCATTATGAATCCTGTTTTTCAGGGATTTATAACCCAGCCATAAAAATTTGCTCTGGGCTGAAATTTGGTTTCAGCTCAGGGAGCACATTTTTTAACAGATTAAAAAAAAATCAGCGTGGCTTTTTTTGAGTTATAGGAGTGTAATAAAAAAAAAAAAAAGGGAGAGAAAAGTGCACAGACAGAAAGGCAGATAAATTTTTCATGAATATAATTCAAAAATAGGTCAGGATTAAAAATAGAATTTCGGTCCAGTCTGTTCAGTCTCCCTATCCCCAAGCTAAAAGGACAGGAGTGCTCTATTTTTAGAATTGTATTTTTAGAGGAAATGTGATGTGTTCTTTACTCTGTCGTTTATAGGTAGTCCAATTTAATTTGACAGACATTTATTGCATGCTTAATTTCCTCATCTCTCCCCTCAGAGTCGCTCTGCAGGGTTTGGTGGGGTTATTCAGTAGGCACGACTGTTGGCAGGGTCTGACTCTAGTTCTGGACCTGTCTCAGCATCACCAGAAGGCACACAATACACCTGTAATAGGGCACAAACCTCTTGCAGCACTTCGGTGCCATGGAGTTGCTAAGGGCAGAGGAGCAGCTTGAGCCCCCAGAAGTGTTCCTGGAGTGGAAGGTGAAGACCTGGCTTGTTGACCATTTAAAGCACATGAAGCCATGGGGCCCCCTGTGTTTCTTTCATGGGGCTGCCTGTTGTCACCCATGTCTCAAGTGCATAGTGTCTCCACTGTCCTTGGAAGAGCTGAGTGTGGGCTACCTGCTGGTGAACTGGGCTGGGCTCTGCCTGTTCCCAGTCTCTCCTGGCCACATAAACATAAACAAGCATCTGGTCCCAAACTGTGGCATGAAGTGAGTTGGGGCTTTCCACCACCAGAGAGCTCTGGAACTCCACCTAAGGCACCTCTTTGTGCCAGTAGAAACCACATGAACAGCTGGATGGGATGGGTCTTGGGAGTAGGCGTCAACCTGCGTTTAGCTGAAGCCATGGATATATCCACAGAAACTTGCATGAAAGGCTGTGATGAGCGAGGCTGGGATCTGCACCTTCAAAGTAGCTGCTGTGCCTCTCTCTCACCCTGGCCCTGTGCACAGGGCTCATGTGTCCCTGCAGGAGGCTGTGGTGGGGGAGTTGGTTTAGCTCTCGCCAGCTCAGGCGTCAGTATCGGAGAAGCATGCCAAGGTCACTGGCTTTGCCTCTGTGATCTCTTTGAGGTCTCTAATAGCCTGTAGCACCGTGGTTTCACTGCGCTCGGTGTGCTGACCCATCCTGACAGCCCAGCACAAACGTGCTCGAGGATGTTGCTCAATGTGGCCCCTGGAGAAGTAGTCAATGGCAACAGCCCTGCCTGGCACAGCTTCAGATTCAAGGCTTTAGGCCCTGCTACTCCAGAGCTGAAAAATCCCTAAATGCACCTTTAAATCTCCCTTTACATGTTCAGCAATTGTGCCATGGAGGGACTTGTGCTTTAAACCCAAAACAACCAGGGTATGACACACATCAAGCCTGACATAAAAGTGAGAAGCACAGGAAAAACAGGAGCATCACAGGCTATCAGCAGACAAGGACTAAAGTCGTGAGAATGGCAAAGTGCTAAAGGATGACAGTCCTTTAGCACTTTGCCATTCTCACGCTGCACATTTCTACTATCTTGGGTCATCAACACATCTACAGTTTACATGGGCTTAAGTACACACTGAAAGAAATAATACAGCTCTTAAAAGCGTTTTACTAATATCCTTCTGTCTCTTGTTATACCTCTGGTCTCATAACAGGGCTACATCCTGGTTTTATTTGCCCTTTCATTCAATTACTCTTTCTGTTCTTTTATTCCTTTTTTTTTTTTTTTTTTTTTTGCCTTTAAAAGGCTTCATTTCTTTTGTCGGGATTTTACAGTTGCTGAGGCTTCAGGAGAATATTTTTTATATTCTATTATGCTTACTAAATGTGGGTCTTTTTCTGTTTCGTTGTTTGTTTTGGTTTGTTTTTAAATAGCTTTTTGGCTTTCATGGAAGAAAACTCAAAAACTAGCATTTAAATACTTGTGAATTTGATCCTGCACTGTTATCACAACTATTTATATTCATTACAAACTTACTTCTACCAGAGAAGAACAAATCTGCAGCATTTTTCATCTTAGCATTTTTCATCATTCCTAAAGATACAAGGAAATGTTGTAATATCAGTTTATATTTTTGCTTTGTCCAGAGAAATTTGTGAACAAAGGATCTGAAGTGAAATATGGTATTTCTGAAGATCATGTTATATCACGTTAAGTAATAACACACTCCTCTTTTTCAGAAATAAGTGTTGAACGAATGTGTTGTTTTCATGTCACATTCTATTTTTTTTACATATTCCAGACGTTTTTGCTTACAATGTCTTTCATTAAAGATATACCTTGCATTTTCTTCCCCTGCAGTGTTTTAGTTTTAAATGTAAATACCTTTTTATTTTATACAGTATTACACATTAATATGAGTACAGGCCTTCTTTGATATATATATTGTTGCCCTCATAACCCTGGAGCCCCCTGGACAGCACTTTGCTTGTGGATACATGATTCCACTGCTCTTTCTGTGGGTCTGTGGGCAGATGGGATGCCCAGTGGCCCTGTTAGGCAGAATATGGTTGCTGCATCATGGGTCCTCCTACGGTGAGCAGTGTGGGACTACAGGTGGGTTCAGCTCCTCCAAGTGGGAAGCAGAGCACAGGCAGAATCACTCATTATTGGTACAGAAACAAGAGCGGAGTAAATCTTCCCTTGCAGGAGCTTTCATTGCACTCCAGGCAATAAGCACGTAACTTTTTGCACTGGTAAGCTAAGCCTCACAGTAGGCTTTGTTAGACATGGAAGGTTAGATGCAGTTTGTTTGGTTCTTACACCAGGGAGAAGAGATACTTAAAGGCAAATGCTGTATTCTTATAGGGAATTCCTGAAGATATTGTCATATCACACAGGTCTCTGTGACAAAACAAAAAATACTTTGAGCAGCTACTTATGTTTCTCAGAGTTTTTCTTGAAGAGAGACTGTGTCTCTTGAAAGCTGAGATCAAAGAAACTGTAAGCTCCCAGATAGGAAGAAAAATTGCAGAAAATTACATAGATTCTTTTTATTTTATTCAAGGTAATGGACACACAGGGGAAGGAACAAGGGGAAAATGGAAATGGCTCTGAAAGATAAATGGTTAGAAAATCTTCATATTGGAAAGAACAAGCCTATCTGTTTTGGGTTTCTTGCTTATACTTCATGTATTCGCAGTAGTTACAGCAATATTTTACACTGGAAAAAGTAATGATGTTAACATTCTTGTAAGAAGAGATTTCCTCAAATAAAACTTCAGAGGCAGCCGAATGAAAGAAAAAAAAGAAGGTTAAAATATGAAGCTTAATATCACCAGGGGGCATCTGGTGTGTCAGTCAGATGAATGAGGTAAGCTGATTTATGCCCTACAATCTTTAACCAAGGTGTTTCTGATGCAGAGGAGGGTTTAATAGACTGCTGGCCTCCCACAGATCATTGCTAACAGCAAGAGAGATTTTGCTGAGGTACAGCTGCAGTCATATGTGTCTCCATTGCTTGTGAACACTCCACAGCTCCCAAGCTGTTTACATTTTGCCTTTTCCCTTTTTATTGGTTTTTGCTTGTATTTTCTTTGCCAGTTATAGTCAGCAAATGGCTGAGTAATAAATTTATATTTCAAAGCTGTAGAGAGGATTTTATTTAGAAAATAATTTTTACCATTTGGAGCAGTTTAAAATGAGTTTTCCAGTTGCCTTTGCAGTTGTTTTCTCCCCTTTTATGCCATTTTGCTGCATTGTCATGCTTGTTGTCTTTGATTCTCGGAAAGCGATGCTTTAGTGGTGACAGTGGGGTATTGCCTCATTACAAGCTTCCTTGCCAGATGAGTTCCCTTTTAGTGCCAATTACTATTCAGCAGCGGATGCTGCAATAGGTCAGTGTGTACTTCTTGCTAGTCAATCTGTTTTTTTGCACATGCATTGCTTCTGTCTAAAGCACCTAGAGGCAAATTGTGCTCCTGCCTTGGTAATTGTTGCTCTGCTACTCAGGGGGATGTAGATACTCTCTGGATGTGTGGAGCTCCACAGGGACCAGATGGTAGCAGGCATAGGGCCAAGGCCATAGGAGATCATCAAAGGCTAAAGTTTTCTAACTTCTTAACTGCTTTGTCTCCTGAGGGCCAAATCGCTCCTCCACCTTTTGTGTTTTTCCTTCCCTCTATATTCAGCCTAGGTGTAGTACAGAGATTTTGCCTTTCAGAGCTAACACTTTGACCAGTTGAGGCAAACCTAACAGCTTCTCCCAACCATGAGGAGTCCTCTGAAAGCAAGTACACTGAAACCTGGGTGACTTGAGCACTGCAGTAACACTGACCACATCACTACTCCTGCCTGCTGTTGCACCTTTCAATCCATCCTTGCCCCTGGGGCTGGTGGTGGCGCTGTACTTGGGAACCAGTGCTCACAAATCTAGGTTAACCATGAGAAAATCAGACAGCGAGCAAGGGCTACATCTCCCTGATAGCTGGAAGAAGCTGTGTGGTGTGGCACAGCAACTGGAAAATAATTTCAATCTGCAACTTTGAACTGCGTCACTTGTTGTTTGATTAAACATAAGATATGTATGAGGGGGCTGGGAGTTAAACTTTGATGTATACGGAGTGTTCTCCGAGGCACCACACTGAATTATCTTTTTCGGCTGCAGGTATTTTAACCCAACAAGGCCCGGGGAGACTGCAATCTCATTTTCACAAGTAAACACCTCAAATCTGTAGTGTAAAGTCAAATGCAGGAGACTTTTGATTGCCAGTTAAAATCTAAGTATGAATCTCTGTAATTTTGCAATAAATCTGTGATATTTTGTTTGTGCAGCTAATTTATAAATTTGGTGCAAAATTCCCATCATATCAACAGAACTTTTCATGCTGGGAATTTAAGCTAGTTGTGAGGTTGGTTTGGTGTAAATGTGAAGTTACTAATGACATTTTTTGAAATAAAGTGATTCTGAAATATAAGTAAAATGCTGGTTTAAAAGTATGTAGACAAAGGCATAGTCGATAGACAACATTGCTACGATATCGGTATGACCCTGCTACTCATATTGAGAACAGAATTTTACAGCATAACAATAGCAGCATCTCAATGTCCTTCCCTCCAATACTCATGTTTGAGTTGGTATTTACCAACAGGTCATTAAACTGATGGAGACATAGCATTGGTGCATCCTGTAAAGAGAGCATTTTTCAAACAAATGCCCATACTGGAAATACTGGTTTGGAAGTAAAGGTTCAGCATCTATGTGTACGTGTAAAGGAGCAACTTCATCTTGTGGGGGCCAGGCTATCCTGCCTGGTGCCAGAGATGGCTCCTACCCCCTCCCAGGGCAGGTTTGCCTATGGGTCAGTGGCAGTTGTTGCTCTGGCTCTTGAAATTCCTCTGCAAGGAATAAAACCGTCTTAAAGGAACTGGTTTCTGGGCAGATACTTTTGATTTTGCTGTCTTAGAGAATATCTTTGATTATTTACTTTATTGCTTCACAAAAGCTCTACAGCAAAGAATTTATCAGTGACACCAAGGAGAAACGTGAAGAAGCAAAGGGAGAGATTATGTGAGTCCTTTGAATACAAAGAACTGTAGTATAAATTAAGAAGATTATTTTATCTTCAGCTTCTCTGACAGGTCCCCTGTTACATAAGTGTTCTACTTTTAGGTATTGCCTAAATGTCAGTCACAACCATTTCCTGAAATAGGAACACCAAGTTTATTTAATTTGGAGGGTTTAAGTATTTTCCACTTCAGAATAATAAATATATAAGATATAGGATCTCTTCTATGTAAGTGCTACATTCTGGGAATATACAGGAGTATGTTTAGATATACTAAAAAATTCTTAGTCATGATTTTAAGAGTAAAGCTTTGATTTTTGTGCTAACATTGCTATGGCAAGCTTTCATGTCAAAAGAAGCCCACTGGAGATGTTGATTCATTGGGAAAGGGGTGAAATGTCATAGTTCTAATCACATCTATTCATTTCCCAAGCTCCTCCTAGAGAACTGACAGAAGAAGAAAAACAGCAAGTTCTCCATTCAGAAGAATTCCTGATTTTTTTTGACCGGACAATACGTGTAATTGAGCGAGCTTTGGCTGAAGATTCAGACATCTTCTTTGACTACAGTGGCAGAGATGTAGAAGAGAAAGATGGGTCAGTTTGGGGTTTCTTTGTTTTTTTAAAATAACCTTCCTAAATAGAATTCCAGTGCCAGGAAACCTTAATTTTAAAACTAAACAGATTTTTTTTTTTCTAGTTATAGTTAAGAAAAACTTAAAACCTCTAAGGCTTAGGTCACTTTGTTAGCCTAAATTATTTTGTAAAATAGTTTCATGCTTTACTGCTCTGGGTTTTTTTCTTTGATGTATTATGCAGGTGGTTTAATTTTTTGTTTAATTTTTTGGGGTGAGATTTCAATTTCTGAAGAAAAACGTTAACAATTGAAATAGATAAATGTGTGCACACATGTATATGTGAATGTGCATGTGTACGTTCCAATGTGCTTATATCATTATATTTTTACAGATTCAAACTGCTGTTGTTTATGTTCTGCTACTGCCTCAGTCCTGTAATGGATCCCACTGTGTTCTGCATTGTGTGCATGAAAATTACAATTTCCCAAAGTGTGTGCAATTTAAACACTTAAGAGGTGAAAGGTTGTGTATTCAGCAATTGATAGCGGAGTAGAAGAAACAAAATTCATTAGTAGCAGAGGAAGTATTTAGATTTCAACAGCTGCGTATCTGTTGAAGCCTCATGACAAATCAGTAGCTGCGTTGCACTGAAGTTACTTACCAGAGGTTACTCTAGAGCATCGCTCCTGTGACCAGCTAAATGCATCAGTGAGGACACGTTGGTCCAGCACTGAGCTTCAGCCCATCCTAATGCTGCCAGAAGGCATCAACACCGCAACAGGAGGTGCTGTTAAGACTTCAGGAATCAAAAATAAGAGAGATTTGATTATAGCTTGGAGGTGAAGATTTAGAAAAGGTGGAACTGAATGCCAGGGCCAGGTTTGGTCCTAGGGACAAAGGTGGCAGAGGTGGCCCAGGAGGAGCCAGAAGAGTCAGGAAGTCAGTGGGAAATCAAGAAATGTGGGTTTGTGAAACAGATGTGAAAATTGTTCTTTGGTGCAAGTTCATGATCAGAAAGACAGTCAGTGAGAGCATTAAATCAGGGTGACAGACTTCCCCAGGCTGGGCAGAGATTTGAGAAGTAGTCAGAAACTTTCACATTGCTTTTCACAGCATTTGAATCCTGGTACTTCAAAAAGTGTCTCTTTGTTTGCATTCACACAGAGATGTTCAAGCAGGAGCCAACCTTTCCTTTAACCGTCAGTTTTATGATGAGCACTGGTCAAAGCATCGTGTTGTCACCTGTATGGATTGGTCTCTTCAGGTAAGATGTGGAGCCTGGTATTCCAAACTAGAATGTTGTATTAAAACCATAGGTAAACAAACCTACTAAGATGAAAAAGTCTTTAGTTTTCCTTCTGCCTCCATTCTTTCAGCACATGAAATTTTTTTTAAGACAGAAGGTTTAAAATTAAGCCAATTAAAATTAATTTACTAAGTGTCTATCCCTGGACTTAATAAATAGTTATACATAATAATATAAAAAAAAAAAATAAGAGTAGTGAGGAATAAAATTTATTTTTCTAATGTACTGAAACTCAGAATATGAAAGTATCTGAACAACTTGAAAAGACTGAAAATAGGTCTTTCAAAAAATACTGGATCCTCTCTTCAAATGTTGGAAAAGGAGGCTGCAGTTCGTCACGGGACATGCTAAAGCAGCGTGTCTGGAACATATCCAGTTTCTGTACACTGCAAAGTATTGTCATATTGCAAAATAAAACTGCCAGTAGAGCTGCTTAAGCTTCCTAAACCAAATAGAGCCTCACCAGCAAAGGACAGAAACCAGGTTAATCAATTGCTCCCTTGGAGAACTGGGATTAGCACACACACATTATCACAGGTCCTGTCAGATTCATTTGGTGCCAGTTTTGCTTCAGCTCCCCTCATCCTCTCCGCTTTTTCCCTTTTAGCCTGTTCTAGTCTGGAGCAAAGAAGTTAGTTTCCCTGGGAATGAAATCAAGGAGACTCTGCTCCATGGTCCACAAACAATATAAGGAAACTGCTTGAGGAGGACACTAGCCAGTATGCTTTGGTAGCCCCAAACAAAGCCTCAGGCATGCCCTGCTGTGTCCAGAGCCGGTGTAGGGAGCAAAGATGCTATAGAAGTAGCTCAGCCTAGTACTGAGAACAAGCTTTGCCTAGCCTAATCTTAGAAGCAGCTGCTTTTTCTGCACCATGTTAGATGTGCAGGTGGACACAGCGTGTGTTTAAGCCCAAGTACATAAATGGTGCATGCAGGCTAGAGAGAGGCAGTGGATAAGGAGCACAGTGACTCTCACAGCCATCCTTCTCTCTTTTCCCTGTAAATGGCAGCAGGGCTGCTTCCATCCCTCTGGGTACTTCTCAGGCAAGGTGGCAGCTGACTGCACAGGGGACGTGGCAGGCAGCAGGGAGGAGAGGAGTTGGAGGGTTCCACTAAGTGTTGCTGGTAGGTCTGACTGTCTGACCGCCTGTGATGAACAATAACTAGCTTCAGAGAGGCTTCTTGTAATATCCAGTTCTTGCCCCACATGTAAAATAAAGGCTTTATCCCTTTGCTTTCATACAAAATATCAGCTTAACAACAGGTATGCACTGGTGTGATGTGGGTGGCCTTTAAGCACATATGGATTTCCACAGAAATCAAATATAAGCCTGAGGAAACACTTATCTTAGGTTGTTCACTTGTTCAGGGGCTGGAAATTACATGGAATTCTTATCTGATATTTTCCTAACAGGCAGCTCTTACTGTATTCCCAGGGCAGCAAGTGAAAAAGCTGCCTCAGAAGAGCACTGCCAAATGTAATTGCTCAGCCCCTGGGGCTTCAGGCTTGTTCTGCTTCCCACCTCTTTGTTCCAGGGTGGCCCCTCCTGCCTTGCCCTCCATTAACTCCTCATGCTGAGCTCCCTGGCACCCCAGCCGGGGCTTCTCTGCCCCAGCAGCGACTCCGTGCGAGCGCGGGGGCGAGGGCAGAGGCTTCTGTGCACTGCCCCACACTAGCTTGGGAGGAGGGACTTGCCTCCTCTCTTGCCTGCTTTGAGGTGTATGGTGCGGCAGGAGCTGGAGCCAGATGGAGGCATTTCACATAACAGCTAGCTCTGCTTCTCACCCATGCTCCAGGACACAGCAGTGTCCAGTATGCTAAAGGATAACTTGGATAATCATGGGAACTGCAGAACACACTGCTCATTTCTGTGATAAAACTGTTGCTGCAAAACAGCCTGGAGGCAAATAGAAGCTTAATCAAACAAAAGACCTTGATGCATTAATTAAGCAAGTTATTCTGTTCCCAGTCACATGCAAAATACAGTCCCAAACTTGTGGGATCATTCATGCCATTAAAGCTAACCCACTAGTCCCTTGATTCTTTTTCAAAGCAAAGGGAAAACAGCTTAGATGCTTCATCAAGGGTCTAAGGGAAAGGCGCAACAGACTGAGTACAAGCACAGACAGAGTGGGATCACCTTGCTCTGTCCATGAGGAGGTGTCTTAGCTCATGTAAAGCCAAGAAAGCCAGAGTCTCAGGGATAGTGCCCTCTCTCCCTCCCGACTCTCAGACAGCAGCCTTGAATTTTATTTTGCAGAGCACCATTTCCATCTTATTTTCAGTTGCAGTCATGGGACAGTTGGGCATCTGGTGAGGACTGAAATTCTGTAAATGCAAGTAGATTGAATGAAGCAGCAAGTGTGCAATCCTAGCATGGATTTATGGTGCTGCACTTTGTTTTTTTTAAAAGTCAAAAAGCCTCATAAAGGTGTTGCCCAGCTAGGTATGACCTCAGCGTCTGTGTAAACTTGAAACTGAATTACCAGTCAGATGCATAAACTGTGATTGCAAAACCTACACAGAGACCAGTAAGATCAGAGTCTCTGCAGGAGCGTGCCCCCCCCAAAAGGCCTCTAAACTGGTGCTTCATGCTCTAGCTGGCTGCACTAACGCTGGTGGTAGGGCATCACCTCTGCCTGCCAAGGTATCTGCACCTTCCCAACTGCGGGTTCAGGTGCTCATGTGAACGATACCCAACCTGTTCAGCCAAAATGAGATCACCTCACAAGAGCCTACTGTGTATGCTGTTTACAGGGACCTGCGCTAACGTGGGATGAAAAGTTTCAAAGGAGAACGTGAGATCGTTGTTCAGAAGTGGTTGCAGTCTCTGTCGTGGAAGAGGAAGAAGAGAGAGTTGAGATGGATGAGAGCAGTGGGGGGCAGGCTGGCACAGATGAGAGAGGTGGTGTATGAGGTGTGAGATTAAACCACTTTCATGACTCCCTCAGTTCTTAAGGACATAGAAGTGGTGGTTGGTCTGTTGCATCCTCTAAATTCCATGCAAGCCATTTGGGTGCCAAATTGCCCTTGCAAGCTGTTGAAGCAGCCAGGATCTGCTGGGATATAGGTACAACACAGTCAGAGCCCACTCAAATGGGAAAGAGGCAGCTATGGTGACCACATGTCATTGCTGCTTCTCCCACATGTGGGTCCAGGCTCATTTGGAACCATGAGCTTAATCATGAACATCATCAACCCCATGATGTGTTATCTATGGAAGTGTAAACACAATGGCAAAGAACAGCTGATGATGGCAAAAGTTATAGTTATGGACTTTTATAGAATCACAGAATCTTAGAATGGTGAGGGTTGGAAGGGACCTCTGGGGATCATCTAGTCCAACCCTCCTGCCAAAGCAGGTTCACCTCATGCAGTTTAGACAGGAACATGTCCAGGTGGTTTTTGGAAGCCTCTAGAGAAGGAGACTCCACAACAACCTCTCTGGGCAGGCTGTTCCGGTGCTCCATCACCCTCACAGTAAAGAATTTTTTTCCTGATGTTGAGATGGAACTTCCTGTGTTCCAGTTTGTGCCGACTGCACCTTGTCATGTTGCTGGGCACCACTGAAAAGTGACTGGCCCCATCCTCTTGACACATGCCGCCGCTCCCCCCCTTTTAGATAAACACTGATAAGATCCTCTCTCAGTCTTCTCTTCTCCAGGCTAAACAGCCCCAGGTCTCTCAGCCTTTCCTCATCACAGAAATGCTCCAGTCCCCTCATCATCATTCTAAGCCCCACTGGACACTCTCCAGTAGTTCCGTGTTTCCCTTGAACAGGGGACCCTGGAACTGGACACAACACTCCAGATGTGGCCTCACCAGGGCAGAATAGAGGGAGAGGAGAACCTCCTTCAACCTGCTGGTCTAACTCTTCTTAATGCACCCCAGGATACCATTTGGCCTTCTTGTCCACAAGGACACATTGCTGTCTCATAGTTAACTTGTCCACAAGGACTCCCAGGTCCTGCTCCATGGAGCTGCATTATTTCTTCCACATGGATTTTGAGAGCAGAGAGGTTCAAACCCAAATAATAAGGATACAGAAGATGATGGTTGCTTGATTTTTTTTTAATTTTTAAGATACCTGGTTTGGACAGAATTCAAAGTTGCCAGTAGCACTACTGGCAGTTTCTTTGTCCTTCTTCCTTTACCAGCTGTGTTGTTCCCCTATAAAGCTGTGAATAGTTTGACTGGAATTTCCCTAGGAAAAACAAAAAGTGACAGTGACCTGTGGAAGTCATTCAGAAATTCTGAGGGAAAGCATTCCTACTTTAAAAGAGGAGAGCGAAGGTCCCATGGAGCTTGGGCTGCTAGCACATTGGTCTGCAGAAGCCATGTGCTCTTCTCTGGACATGCCATAAGGTCCACTGCCCTACTTTGACTATTTAGAGGGAAAGACAGAGGCTACCAGAGGAACCTAGTGTCAAATGTGAGAGTGGACGACTGGGTGCTATATTATAAGCCAAAAGTAATTGATGTTTTGTGGCCAAATTAGTACTTCTTACAGTGTTTTGAGATGATACAAGATCAGAATGTGAAAATCTGACTGGTCATATATGATATTATGTGTGCGTGTAGAGATGTATATATATATATATGTGTTTTGCCTGTCTACTTCTATACATCAGTGGAAAATGAGTGCACAAGAAAATTTGGATCTGATTTGGGAGCGCTTATTGCATCAGTCTTACTGAGTCAGTGGAATTCGAGGTCACCCTGTGCTTTACAAGATTACCTCAGTGTCTTGCAAAATTGAGCTTCTGTGAAGAATATGTTTGTTTTGTTTGCTATTTGAATCATCAAGAAGAACTTTAAAGTTGATTCTACGCATAAGTGAATAGGAAGAATACATAATGAAATAAGAAAGAATAGTTTTCAGGGATGCTGAAAAAATTGTGAGTTTCAGAATAAAAGCAAGTCAAGACTATGGTCATAATGTATTTATTATCAAAATCAACTAAGAAATGGTTATGCAAATATGTTAAAATTACTCAAGCTTTCAGATTTTTCCTCTGCCTTGCTTCATGTTCCTTTTATGAATCTCCTGCTAGTTGTCTTTTCTCAGAATTACCTGCAGAAAATAACATTGCCTTTGTGGGATCTGAGCAAGGAGCAGGGGTTTTAAGGATGTCAGGGATGAGTAAAGTATAAAGCAAAAATGAAGCTGAATACTACGATTGGACTAGCTTGTATTATAATTAAAACCAGATGTTGCACAGTTAGTGTAGATCATTTCTGTATCATCTGATTTTGCACAGGTTCTTCATCATCCATCTTATTTATTTTGCTTTTTCTTTCTAGTATCCTGAGTTGATGGTTGCATCTTATAACAATAATGAAGATGCTCCACATGAGCCTGATGGGGTAGCCTTGGTATGGAACATGAAGTTCAAGAAAACCACACCAGAATATGTTTTCCATTGTCAGGTAAGATCGAGGAAGCCATTAATTTCATGCTAGAGAAAACAGAGTTTACTACATGGTTCATCTTCATGCTGTTTATATGAAGAGGCTGAAGTTAAAAACAGGCATTTTTTGAAGAAGTACAAGCTGCAGTCCAGTGTTTTCAGAGGGCAACCAGCCTTCTCAAACAATACTGAAAGCCTGTCAGGGCTGTGTGTCATTCTTTATCTATTTAAAACAGTCCCTAGGAGATTCAGTTTATAAAGCCCTTGCACTTATGAAGTAACTGTGGTATACCACTTCCTCATCCAGGCAGCAACATATGCTTTCCCACCCACATTAGCTTCCACGCATCCTCTGTACTCCAAGCTGCCTACCCTTGCCTTGGTTCCGCTCAATATCATGTTTTGCCTTGAAAACTGGGAAATACACTTTGCATTTCTGAGCATGTGTCTTACAGCTTGATAAAATGGTCTTGACTACAAGCACTACTCCACCAATTCCTGTTTGACTGTCCTTTAAGTTAGCAAACCAGTGTTTCTCTTCATTCACTGCAACTTCATGACCATACTATTTTGGAATTTTATGGGCAATTCAAAAATAGTTAATGTTTTATTTCTGTAGGTCTCTTTACTCATCTTTTGCCACTGTTTTTGTGTATGAAACAGGACAGCCTCCTATTGGCAGAAATGTTCTGCTCATTGGCTCTACCTCCATCAAACTGCCCAGACTGTGGAACAGGGTTTGGGCCACATTTCCAGCCTCTTCATTAATATCCTCCAGTGGTAATTAAATACAGGACAGCGGTATTCAAAAGCCATGTGGAAAAGTTTCAGCAAGTAAAGCTTAACAATCAGAGATTAGTAAAATGCAGATTATTCTGTGGTAAAAATTGCTTCTCTTGGAAGGATATGTATTACCTGGCTAATTGTGTAAGCTAAGTGTCATTTTACATTCAAGGACCAAACATCTTTTTGAACTAAGTTTATGTCTGGACTTGGGTGCATTATCAGATGTAACATAGCGGGAGGGAGTTGCTGGATTTGAAGTTACGGCTTCAACCCGATTAAGTAACCTTTAATTCTGGGCACGTTTTTCTAATTTGCTGTACTGAAAAACAACTTCTCAAGGAGTCTAGGCCTGCACAGCAAATATGCAATACAGATTTATATACATATATATGTGTGTGTGTATGTATTACCTTTGAAATGAGACCTTTTACTTTTCTGGATATCATATTCGGTAGACTGATGTGTTCTTTCAGACCACTTAAGATCTTAGCTCAGATCCCATGCTCAAATTCTTCTAGGATGTACATGCGGCTTAATGTTTTAAACAAAATATTCAAGAGAAGAGATTGCCCACTGCATTTTCAGGAAGAATAATCCTGAAACTAGATTGATTTTGCAAGATAATAACCAGATTCAGAGTAGCCCTTCTGAATACACAAAGAGGAGTTTGACTACAGACATAACAAGATGTTCCATTAATTAAAAATTCTATCTAGTTTTAAAAGTAGGTATGCTTAAACAGGGGAGGTATGACTCATTAAATTGAAAACACTGGGACAGGCTATACTCTCCAACAGAAAAACACATATAGGACAAAGTGGTATACAGAGATTTGGCCTGGCTGAGCTTCTGTCCAGTTCTCCCATTAAGTTGGATGTGCCCGTTTTTAGAACTGGAACCTTAAAATCTGTGAATTGAGAGACACATATGGCACTGTGCTTTCACATACATCCTGGATTCACCAACTTTCAGTTAAATTAAATTGGTTCTTCTGTCCACAAGAAATGTTTGTTTTCTTGGCCAAACTGTCCACAGATAACTTGCATTATTATTCTGTTATGAGTTGTAATCATGTGTGAACCACCATTATGGGGCTTCTGACATGGAATATCTTCTGCAACTCAGATCAGTTGAGGATACCCACATAAGTTTAAATGGGGAAGCAAAAAGCACGAGTCTTGGTCTCTTGAACACGGGTTTTGTTCTAACTGACTCAGATGGAAAATAAGAAGAAAAAAATTAACTTAGCTCAGAGTCTGGAATTCAGTTCTGTAGGTCATCATATTATTCTGTTTGTCAGTGAAAACCAACTGTATTATTAGACAGCCCATATAATTTATATTACCATTTTGCAAAAGAAACATTGCCTTATTCAGTCCTGATTCAGTCATTTCTCTAGTTCTTCTGTGAGACAGGCCTAGTTTGGCTTCTGCAATACACGACTTTATAACAATCCCGCCCAGCAGCCAGAGATGAACACACACCTTATCATTAAAGCTAGGTTGCCCAGATAGGACAAACATAGTACTTTGAGTGTATTTTCCCAATAGACTACCATTTTCCTTCCCAAACACTTTCTATAAAAATGTTGTTTTAATAAATACTATATGGTGCTGACTAATACACCTTTAGCCTTTCAATTTTTGGGCTCACAGAGCAGGATACAGACAAGTAGAAGCTCATTTCAGATGTGACTGCTGAGGAACTCATGCAAGCCACTTCTAAGAAGCCAAATTAATAAATTGGTTTATGAAGCCATTTCTAAGGAACTTGTAAGAAATTCCGACTCAGGAGTTCTGATAACATCAACAGATCAATGAAACATCTCGGGACAGCTACAAGCTGGCTGAACTTCAGCAGGCAGAACTTTAGATACCTCTTGGGTACATCTGGTATCTATCTTCTTGAAGCTAGGAACTGTGAAGTTTTTCCTGGTATAATATACAGATTTGAGTGAGATGTTTACCAAATAATTCCTTAATTTCTATACCTCTTTCTATGATTATTTGTAATCTTACATTAGATCATTGAAATTGTCATAATCAGAACTATAGGCTTTCCCACTGACTTTGCTGAAAGTTGACAGAACCAAGGTCATCATCTGAAGTTGTCTATCAGCCATAGCAGACAATGATGCAAAACTCTACGATGTTTTTTCCTAACTCAAATCAGCGAAAAACATTTATTTCAGTCCTCAAGTGTGAGGGTTGATGTATTCTGTAAATGTTTACCTTACCTATTGTTACTAATGATCTTACTGTTTTGCCTGATTTAAAGTCAAATTATGTTGTTGGCTCATTAATGCAGTGTAGGTCGTAGTAAATTTCATAGCTCTACAATATGTTGTGCTACAAATACTGGGTTCAATTTTAGTTAATATGCATTATGAGAAAAATTACTGTCAGCCAAGTGGACTTGTTTAATCATTAATTCATGTGAACTGCCGTGTGATCTGTCAAATCTTTTCTAAGCAGAACAATCTTCTGCTCTCTTCTCCTGTGGAATATTTATTTTCTTATACTTGTTTTATTTTTGCCCTTCTTTGGGGTTTTTATATTTCTACTTTACCCAGAGATGTGTTGACAGTATTTTAGCTGGGACTCCACAGATTTTTTCCTCTATAGCTCATCATACATCTCTTTACCGCAAGGTTAGAAATGGGAAAACAAGGAAGAGTGAGGGATTGGGCAATTTGTTCATTTTTTTTCCTATGCAAGCAAAAAATGTCTCAGAAGCAAAACCAAAGTGGAAGGGTGATATCATTTGCCAAAGGAATGAACACTCAATGCTTTCCTTAGGTAGTGAGGAATAAATTGAGCATGCAGCTAATACTGCAGAGTGCAGACTAGGAATGTCCTTGTAGGGAAGAGTCAGGGATGTCCTCTTCCCCCATGCTGGAGCGTCACTGTCTCTTGGTGGAATCCATTGCATTCCAAAAGTGAAACCGTAGCCTTTCAGAAGTACTTTATGAAGCCCTGTGGATGAGTCATCCCTGGCTGGGTTGATTTGGCAGCATCCACACAGGGAATGAATTCCAGCAAGGACATGGAAATCACATTGACTCTCCCTTGGCCTGGTGTGAGAATTTTAAGCAGTGGTTCACACTGCTGTTCTCAGCTACTGTTGGTCTGCATTTAGGTGGGGGTGACAGAAATGAAAATAGTATGACACAGTTATTGATTATTTGACTCAACATGAGCTCAATCCTGTATCAATTTATGCAATATATTGGGCTGTCCTTGTATGTGAACATTCCTGTACTACTGGTTAATAGAGTAGTGTTGACGATATTTCTTGGTCTTGATGTCTTTCTTAGAAAGCACTTATATGTCTATAGTGTGTTTTTTCACTGAGCAAACAAATAAAAATCACATTACCCATTAATTATGAAGATTATTTATAATGCAATGCCCATTGTTTATGTACTACTGCTCATCTCTGCCCATGATGTTGTTTCTGTTTCCTGTTGGACTGATCTCAGCTTTCTAAGCCAACATGACCTGAAGAAGTATCTGAAACTTTGAATCAACGTATCTGGTGAGGCAAATAAGAACTCAGACTGTCTTCATTCTAAAGTGGCTAGTTGAATGAGTTATTATGCCCTCCCTTTAAGAAGAGTGTGTTACCAGGGGTACAGCACTGCACTTATACCAGATCTTACAGATTTGGGGTTAGAGCTGATCTATAGAGGCAGAAGATACAAGGGAAAGAAATCATCAGTGGGTCTAGAGCATTTTAGGATATTGCAAACCATTTCCTTTCTTCTGGAACTAAAGAGGGGTTATTAAAGTTGATTGAGGTATCTGGACCTTAGCTTCAAAACATCCATCATTTCAAGAAAGGATGGGTGGGCAAAGGCAGCTAAGGATATTAGTTTCATGCAAATAAACTAAATTGAATGTTACTCTCTGATTTGGAGGCTTCTGCATTGTGTTTGGAAAGTTTGATGAATTCTGCTTTCCTACACCCAGTCTAATGATAGCAGCAAAAACAAAAAGAAATTACTACATTGGCTGCATTTTGATTTATAGATTATTAATTTCCTCTTTCTCAGCTATGTCTTTTCCAAATGTCTCGAAAGGGCAGTGAGAAGTACAAATCTGATACTTAGAAGTAACTCCATTCAGTGTATTTTTAAGGAAGGAGCGCACATGTGAAGTAGCTTTTATCTGATGAAGCAGTAACCATTTAAGAGTTCTTTCAAGGAGCTGGATTGACGTTTAGCATAATCAC